CATATATATATGTATGTATATATATATAAATATATATATATATATCTATTATATGTATACATATATATATATATAGATGTGTGCGTGCGTGCGTGTGTGTGTGTATGTGTATGTGTCCGTGCGTGTGTGTGTGTGTGTATAAGTATGTATAATACCAAACGAGAAAAGGTACTAGTTTTGTAGCATAGCAACCTACCAATTTTTGAGCAGACGACGCCATAGGATCGAAGGCGTGGAGGTCGCCCTGACAAAATATAAGACGGAAAAAAAAATTTAATTGGCACGCTTAAATGGTTTAGTGATATAACTATCCATAATGACAAAGCCAAATAAATCGAATATATAAGAGCTTTCAAGCCAGAATATATGCTAGGTTTACCGACTATGGTGCTAATCAAATCGTTCTCAATAGATCTTTCGGTTCAGTGAACACGCTTGGCTTTGCGATTCACTCAGTAACGCTATACAGCAGAGAAGCGATGCAGACAGTCACGAGTGTAGACGAAATGACTCGTAACGCGTGCGAAAGTCCGGAAACCGGCGACCGAAAGACAGCCTTAAGCTGGAACCTCCATATAGTAAAAATAGATCATAAAACCCCATACAGACACATACACAGAGGTTTCTTTCAAGTTGATAGATATACAGCTGAACTGAGCTTGTGATCTTCTAAGATAAAATATTGGTACAGGGACTCTGATAAGAAGATACGCGCCACGATTTTCCCAAATGGGTTAAAAAGGGCTGCAATGAGACGAATATCCTACAAACAGCAACCGGCTCAAACTCATTCCATATCTCTCGATTGCACAACCAGAGTGATGCGTTCAATGCTCCTACACTTTGTCGCAGGCTTGCAGGCACATACCTGTACCGCGACATAAACCATAGGCCATGGACAGACAGACATGTTCACCTGCGTGCACTTGTATCGCAGGCTTGCATTCACGTCGCTGTACTGCGAGATACACCACAGACCAAGGACGCACTAAGACACTCACCTTCGACTCCACGAAGTCAATGATCTGCGAATTTATTCTCCCTATGTCGAAACCCTTTGCATCGGCCCGATCCATCCTATACAAAGCAGTGCAAAAAGCATGCGTGTATATGGATGCATGAGGGATATATATATGTGCAGAGGTCCAAATATGTTTTTGCTACTGTGTAGAAGAAGTAATATGTGTGTCATCGGCCCAATTCATGCTATACCTTTTTTTTTAAATTCTAAAGCGCAAGTAGCGTGCTTGTATATGGATGCATGCGGGATATATAGGCCTGAAGAAGTTCAAGTATCTTCGTGATGCTGCGTAGAAGAAGTCACATATGCCAAACTTAGTCGCAATGTATAAACCATTATGTGAAATGAAATGCAAATAAGTATATCGTTTGCATAAATATAATAAAATATACTTACTCAGGGTAACAATATATACGTATATAGTATCGCTTTCACGATGTAGACTAACATAATCTTTACAAGCAGATCAATCAGCCTAGAACTAACATGTAAACTTGGCTGATTCCTACTAACAACGCAACGCTTCATACAAAAACCAATGTAATCCGTATACCTCTTAGCCTCGATTCTCAGTTTTCTTCTCTGCTTTCCAGTCAGTTTCTGGCCTTCCTTATCGTGCGAGGCGACATTGACTTTCTTGTTGCCCTTCGATTGTTTCTGCTTTGTCGTCGATGCAGTTGCTGCTTTAGGCTTTCGTACACTAACAGGATACATCTGTGCCAGCGTTAAAGCAGTATGCACTGGTACCGACTCCGTGGTCTGACATCCGGTGTTAGGTGTGTTGAGTGCATCTTCGCGACCTGGCACGGTCGCCATGGCAACAACAGCGGCACTACTCATTACACCTTGACTGGGGAAGCTGTATACGAAGTGCTTTCCAAACACCTCTAGGATGTCCACAAGTTAATAGCGCTCAATACACTATACAGGCTGAGTTTGAATGAACAAGCATCGCCATGTTGTACAAGAAATAGAACCCTTACATAATATGTACCATTACTAAAATTTAAAAATTGTGATTGCATCAAGAACACTGACCCGAGTATGCCCATTTCTCCGCCAATTAAAACCCAGGATCACAGCACAAGTTCTCATACTCGTATTTCTTTCGAGTTCATTTTTGATATATCATATTAGCTGTCGAGTTCATAACTTCATATGTATTTATTTCACGAGTTCACAGTATACAAATCAAACATACATTTTCTGGTAAAATCCCTGTCCTAAAATCATTATGCCACCTTTATTCGACCGAGACTCAATTTCCTTTCAAAATCTCATTTCGGCCTCTAAACAATATCATCTATCCTCGATCACCAGCAAAACATTGGTTCTTACGGCTGAACATCACAACCACTCTAGTTGCAAACACAGAAAACACTGCTAGAATCGATGGCCTTCAATAGTAACCTATTACCCTATTCCTTCACAGGATTATGCTCTAGATCATTGATACTTGACCCATGCTGCATTCCCAATACACCACTGTGCCCTCACCAACCTTCACACTCGGATATATCACATCTCCCACATCCACCTGCAAGACCACAAGGCAACACATCGGACGGTTTAAATCCCTCTTGCATAGGTGTAGTCATACACGCCCACTGTCTCAAGCATTTTTTGAACAAGCCCTTCAGCATTTGCTTTTAACAATTCAACTCCAGCAACCCCATTTGCTCAGATCTCAGGTCGTAAGTGGAGAACACAGGTGTTGGGTATCCTTCAGTCTTAGACACCCACTGTCTCAAGCATGTTCTGAACGAAGCCCTTCCGCATTCTATATCCTTCGCACACCTCTTTAGTGGTGTACAGAAGTTACTCACATCCTAACTGGTTATGGGTAAACTGTCAACCTCAAACCGAGACACAGTCAGACACGACAGCTTCAATCGCTGCTTTAAGCCTACACCAATCCGGCTCTGTGCTATGATTGTAACGAATACGTAGATGTTCACATTGCTCGACTACTGCACCGACGGCTGTCTCTGCCCTGTCTGCCCCGGTAGCCACAAGTTCACCACAAGCCACTTTACATGCATCCAACAACTAATTCGACGCATCCTGGTGGGCCCGAAACTGCCGCCCATTGGCCCTGACCTCCTCCAGCAATTACAGGAGTGCCACGACCTCCATGATATCTGGACCCTTCATGAACACCTTGGATCGTTTCTCCAGCATGTAGAAGAACCACCGTACCCTCACCCGTCTCTGACACATCAACAGATGTTCCCCGTACCCCGGCTAATCACACTGTTGAAGTATTACTTCCAAATTTCAGTTCAAACCAAATCATCGCGCTTGTTGGTCCAGCCTATGATACTTCCGATCCAGGCCGGCCAGCACATACCGAGTGCATCCATGGTCTGGTGTGGCATTGGCTCACCCCCATCCTCGCTCCTCGACCGAATTATGACGGATAACCTGGTCCTACTCGGTATTTCGTACTCTGCACTAACCCATTCCACGGCACTACACGGCGCAGACCCGATCCGTACCATAGAGGTGGGTACGCTACTTAGCAGATCAGCAAGCCAATACATGACACATTCGATAGTAACAGTTCTTTGTCAGCACCGGCCCGAATTGACTCAGCGCATATCCTCCATCGTCGATTCACTTGACCCAAGCTTCAAACGGAAATTTACTGACTCTTTCTTCCCATCGATCTTTCCCGAACCACTACAACGGCTATGAGAGCTATACCATATGTTCATACATTATAACATACATACATTATATCTTATTATTTTGAAATAAATAATATTATGCCTAACATAACTACTACAAAGGGCAGAACTATAAAAGAAACAAGATATTAGAACACCTCTGATACCATTTTGCGTGTTATTTCCACGACTCTAGTATTAGCACGTTGTATCGTGGTAATGCCTTCTAGCAGCTCTCATTCTGCATAGACCTCGCCCAGATTAGGTCGTCAATTTCTGTCCGATCTTTCTTTCGCAAATATTTCGTGAGTAATTGAGCTTACTATCATTTCAACTTCATCTACCCACTAAGCCTTTAAACATTGCCCCACGTAAGCTGGCTATATGCTTTACTACTCAAGCATCGGCCATTCACTCACCCTGTATGAAAGAATTGTCTTATGAATCCATTCCCAAGATGGCCGACACCGGAATAACTTTGTTGTTCTAGTACTAAAGCAGGTTTTCGACAGGGTGAATTACAATCTCCTGGATCAACTACTCCAAAAGCCGTGGACTTTCGGTTCTCGAGTTCCGCCAACAATTCTCACTACGTATAAACATCTGCACTCATCACATATAACAGTTGCACTTCATGAAGGAAATCTTTGTCGTTGTGCGCAAGCGTGAACTACCCATTACAGTATAGACACTACTGTAGACATTTGGTGGTTTTTCTATAACGATGTGTTTTCCACCTAATGTATTGGGATACAAACAAAGATGGGTCTCAGGTAAAATTTGACACTTGGTGATAACACACAATATATTCCCAAATTTTCTCAGCGCAATATAACCCACTGAGAGTTAAGTCATGATATTGACAACTCCTAGCCAGCCTACTAGATGTGTCAGTCTTAAATTCCCTAATATTGCCTAGGGCTGAAGCTAAACTTAATTTACTTTTGCCTTTAATATAGTAACGTATTATCTTCTAACGTCAACATTTTTAGTCAGCCTAGTTAGCCCGGCTTTGACACCAGGGCCTCTCATGTACACATCGAACACCGGGCTCTCTCTCTCTCTCTTAGGCACAACTCTCACAGTACCGTTCCACAAATACCTGGGCCTTCACTTCAACGGCGAGGACATTATATTCCGCTCTCTATGCAAATCGCTCATTCATAGACTCCAACCAATATTACATCTATCTGCTCAATCCGGATTCCATGTCGCGCCCCAGATACACTCAGACGCCATGCGTATTACTGCTTATTCTTATCTATAGGATACTTATGCAATCACGCCTCATTTATCCCTTGCTCCTCCCAATATAATTGTACGGGATAATATACAGGGCTGTACTTCTCAACTTCAAACATTATTTTTGAAATGTGTGTGCATTATTGTTAACCGCAAATCAGTCCCACACAACCAAATTTCTATTCAAATATCGTGAGGGTACTCTCGTCGCTCCCAAGGCATCTACCATCCTCCAAAGGAACTCGCACAATATCTCAATAGTACGCTCTGGGCCCTCGTGTATTGCTTCCAAGACATCTGCCATCCTCTGAAAACACGCATCTAATATCTCGAGGGTCACTCTGGGCCCTCGTCCATCGCTCCCAAGCCACCTATCACCTTCTGACGGAACTCATTCCTCGCCCCTCCTTTCATGCCTAGTGTATTATGGACCTTGTGTGTAAACGAAATATACCTACATCTCCTGCATAACAATTTAACAATTGATCGCACTTTCGACGATAAGGATTTTTACTTCTTTTTCGGCCCCGCTATAGTTACTAAAGTGCTTTGGATACAATATGTACATCTTCAGGTTCACTACACACACCAATAACACAAGTAAATTATGCCACTTAGTGTGCCCAGTGCACCCTTCAAATACGCTCGCCATGTTCCATGGTTCATGTAGTAGCTTGACCTTCGCCGGATTGTGAACACTGTTCGTGACAATATCTTCGAGATTTTGTCTTTGTTGGCCACAAAAGGAGCCTGGATATGCTATTTCTTGGCTCCACTGCCCCCACCCCACGCTACACACCCAAATATACTTCGAACAGATATTGATTTTCCAGTATTCATTCACCCAATCATCAAATTTTACACATCATTTAGCTGTTTTCTGAATCTCTGTGCACTCACTTCAAAATCTTGCTCGCCACACTTCAATCCATCGCATCTTCTATATCCGTCTCTTGTCGGCGGTGTCCGCCGTCTACACCTGATTGCGGTTGCTTTCAATCCAAAGCCTCCCTCTGCTAACTTGCCTGGCTCAACCCTCTAGCCACACTTCCTGATCACTTCCCCCCTAGCCCTACAGATGACTGTCCCTCCCTCTAGACAATGTGTACTCTACCTTTTTACTTTGATATACCCCTGTCGAAATACACTCTTTTACGCTTCGACAGTGTCAAAGATGCGCTCTCCTTTGTGAAACTTTATACAACGTGGATCATTTCACCTTCAATGGTGCTATACGCTTGGTTCTCTGGGCTGGGTGATCAACGATCCATCCAGGGATGGAAACCGTACTCTATGAGCCAAAAGACATGTTCACCTTGGACAGTCTCAGATTTTCTAATAGCTTTAAATATCATTTTACAGTTTAGCGAACTATAATTTCAGATTTCTCCTATAGTGATTGCCTATCAGTTCCTGTATTACAATAAATTTGACAGAACATTATAATTCGAATGTGCACAGCAAATGGCCTCGATAGTTTCTTGGAAAAGGTAAACCTGCTTTATTAGTTAATTCGCCCTCGGATAAATTCCATATAATTCCTAAATTCCAGCTTGTCCCCCTGTTAGTCTCATCTTACTTAACGTAAGAATATCCTCTACAAACAGTCCACCAGTAAGCTTCATATAGTATCGAGGGACCAAATTATCAAAAAGCCAATTCAAATCCCAAACTTCTCAAGTACAGTTATCTCAGCTAGGAAAAGTCCTCAATCGGAGAGAACCGAACGGAGTCTTTAGCTGTGTTTTCACTAGACTCAGGATTTACTTGAATGTTTTTCTCACACGCGGAGTCCCGGTTTAGTTTACCGGTTCTACAGCTAATATTTCTGATGACTCTAATATCAGAAATATTACAATCCTAATTCCAAAACTCAATATTTGATGATCCTGGGTTTTGTGATTTGGATTGGCCTTTTGACAATCTGGTCGCTAAATGCTACAGTGTGTATTGATGCCCAAGTTATCGGCCACTGTGCTTGAGCAATCGGTGACGAAGGCAGAGTAGGCGTTTGCAAAGGTGGGGCGTTTGAGGGTTTCTGTGCCTGAGTCTGAAGACCTGCATGCGGTACAATCCGAGGAGGCAGTAGTTGAACACCTGGTGGAGAGGGTTCAGTTGAGTGATGATTCGGTGGTGGGGCGTATGGGAGAGGCCGCTGTAGTCGCAATACCCATATAGGAGGGTAACCCCTAGTTTTAACAGGTGTATCAGATCATAGGATCTGATAGACCTAGTTTGTGTTTATCAGATCATAGGATCTGATAAAGTTAGTTTGTGGTTATCAGATCATAGGATCTGATAAACTTAGATTGTGTTCGATCCCTATAGAGACCGAACACATGACGAGTCTTAGTCAGTTATCCAATAATCTATTAAAGACGCAACGTCTCCCTGACTAATGAGGGAGAACGTTCAGATATAGTTATTCGAGCGTAACTTACTACACCGCTTGTTCGGATTCTGTACCTGTCGCTACTTAACCGAATGCTAGTACTACCTCAGAAGTGTTATCTCATGTTGGTGGGGTTGACGAGCCCGCTTCGCCCACAAACGTCAGTAGCAGTTCACCAGTATCTGCTGGTAAACACACGGCTGCCGAGTTGTATCCACCGTCGGATCCAGTTGTGGAGCTTGAGGTTTCCACTGACAAGCCAGCTAGAAAGCGTCGGCGTGCGGTGCCATTATCTGTCGATTCTTGGCCGGTCCTAGAAGCTTGCCCGTCACGCTCTTTATGGGGTGTATTCCTTATGGGCTCTCAGGTTGTTCAGGCTCTTCAGTATGCGTACTTGACCTATGCACATGCTGCGCAATTTGGGCTCGAGCATGTGGATCGGATTGCGCCCTCAGCTCCAAATGATTGGGCGGGTGTGTGAACCTTGTCAGCTCCATGGGTTCCCTCCGCCAGAAACTCTTGCTTTGTTCCAACAGCCAAAAAGCTCTTTGATTCTCTCGGCGAATTGGTCGTGTGACTTTGTTGAATTTCCGGCTGCTCCGGGAGGGGAGTGTTCAGTGCTGGTCGCCATCAACGAAGTCTTTAAGCTTATGGTGCTTAGTGTTTTCACTTCAGTGATGAAAACGGCTCTGGGTGTGGTCAAGTATTTTAGGGAGCAAGTGACTGCTGATATAGATACATCTTCGATAGTGATACCTTCAGCAACTTCGGACTCCACCAGGGCTTCCATGTACATCTCACTTCTGTAGCCCACCATGAAGGTAATTGGCGGGCGGAGTGAGGCATCAGGACGTTGCTGGAATGGATAGCGATGTCTGGCGAAGATGCTAATTATCATGATTTGGTGGAGAACGTCTACAACTCGGCGCTTGCATACGATGCTACGGTAGTCCCTTCTAATGGGTTCTCGCTGTTCTTCACCCATACTGGGCGTGTTTATAATGGTCCTTAACGTTTGTTTCTCTAGGTTAAGTTCGGTGAAATGTTTCTTAATGACGAAGGCCTGGAAGCAGCAGTTCGTGACAGACCGCCTTGATGAGCGTCGACGCCTTGCGCAAAAGCGAGATGCTGATCGCGATCGTAAGGCAACTCAACTCATTCCGGTTGGCACGACCGTTCGCTTCTGGCGGGACGTGGGCAACCACAAGTTACGTGCCAAGTGGTTTGGTCCGGCCCAAGTTGTGGGTCACGATAGAGTGGCTGGCCATGTGGTGCTCTTTAAGAAGAAACAGCCAGTGATAGGATTTATGTTGACTTCTTTCAGGTAGAACGACCTACTGGTGACACTGCACGTGATGATGCTCGACATCTCAAGGTCAAGGGTGAGTACCAGGTGCGGTATTTCGTTCCTCACCTTTCGGTCGTGCATCGTTACCAGCACGTGGACAATTGATACGTGTGTTTGCTGCCTCCCCACCGTCTTCGCAATGGGCTAGTCGGGCTCAGTCTGTACACATGGAAGCGTTACTACGAACTTTGTGTGATCAGATCACCCGGAAGGCGTGCAGCTGTATCGTGTCCCTATGCTCACAACTATGCGGGAGTTACAGCCTGCGCTTAAAACATATGTGGGTTATGAGGGTATTTCTCCTTCCCATCTGCACATGTGTGTGCAGATGGGTGTAGATGCAGATTTCCGAAAACACATGTTACGCAAGTAGGCTGCAGACAGTGTGTCAATCGTGCATGACGAAGATTATGTCTATTCATGCATGTAATTGTTTTTTTGGGTGTATAGGCCGAGCCCAACGGCATAGTGAGGTTGGATATGGAATTGCGGACGTCCGCATTACTCTCTCCTCAAATATTGTACATAAAATTATACATTCATACACAGTGTCTTTCATACTTACCTGCTCCTTGGGTGTTGTAACCTCTTTCGTCGCGCTCGCGTCGTGCTCGGTGTGCGGCAATTTGTCGCTGCATACGTTGTGTTGGGTGCGGAGGATTTATAAACACTTGGGTTTGGCGGAAGTTTATGTTGCGGAAGTCTATCACGGTGGGTGTGTATGACCCTTCACCTAGGTGATGATTGAGCAATGTGGTTCGCGGTGTGCGAGCGATGTTTCGTCCTCGCTAATTAGTGCTGCGTTGTCGCTGGTACTTTCTCCACTTTCGGATGCTGCATTAGAGTAGGTATCAGGTAAGACAATATCGTCTAGATACAGTATCGCATGGGGCCCATGGGGATGGGTGAGGGGCAGTGCCTCTTCTACCTGATTGACTGGTGGTTTTGTACTGTTATTGGCCTCCTTAGCTGTGAGCGTAGGAATTGTAGAGGCACACATAAAGAAAATGTTTGTTGTTTCCGTGAGGGTAACAAGTGTTGGTTGTTACTGCGGTTACTCTTGTTATGTTTGCATATCCATTTCTTATCTATGTCTCTTACCTTAGATTGAGATTACAATTTTATGGTTGCTATGGCTTGTCGCAGAGGAGATGCTCCCCTGTGCTACATTACATTGTGACCAGTTTAGGTCGTTTACTTTAAAAAAGAATATAGTTCAGACAAGTTTAACTATAATGAAGCCCATACCTGATGCATCAAACGATGATAAAGGCCGAAGGTATCATAATTGTTTGTTCATTTATTTGAAAACTGTATTTACCTAAAAAGGACCATGCTGGTGAAAGACCCACTAAGGCAGGAATAAAGGCAGGGCTAGGGGCAAGGCAGGCTTTAAAAGGCAGGGTTAATGTATGGCAGGCTAAAACTGCCATGCTAATGCGCGAAGTTCGAACACGCCGGGTAGCTTCATGTGCGCCTGCAATGAGGGATTCACAGGCGATGGCAAAACGTGCACACGGGAGTAACCGGCGTAGTGTTTGATTTCGATGAACTGTGGTAATCTTCTAAAATTTTGTCACTCTGATTGGAGGTTATACGTGACATGACTGTGGTTTACGAAACGGGATGGCGAACAGTTAGCTAAATTATACGCATCAGACTACACACTTTATATAGCTGTCTAGGTTACCATAACTTTACTCATTTATGGCATGGTTTCCCACCGTAATGAATATGCAGAGGTTGATGAATGCCTCTTAGGCACTGATGACTGCGACATCAATGCCGATTGCCTGAACACGAGCGGTGGATTCACGTGTGCTTGCAAGACAGGCTTCCAAGGAAATGGCAAAGCATGCACAGGTAAGGTATAGATATGTTGAACCTGACGGGTGTACAATTTTTTAATAGGCAGTAACGGGCCAGAACGAATCTCATATTGTCCAAGCTCAGCCTGCATGTTCGAACGAATGGGTATATCTGGACTCAAAGCGTCTTGAGTGTATCGACTATGTTCAATAACAAATCACGTTCAGGTACATATACTCTTAATCAAATGTTGTGCATCTCCTATTCTCTTGATCAGCTTTGTATTCGAAAATGTTCACTTGCTGACAATGAGTCCTATCCTGTGATGGGCAGATATAAACGAATGCAACACGGGAGCAGACAATTGTGATAATAATTCAGTATGCTCAAATACTCCTGGGAGCTTCACATGAAAGTGTAAGGACGGATATGTAGACTATGAAGGTGATGGTCTCACATGTACAGGCAATTGGTATCGGCTTACTTTGAACAATTGCGGCTCTGCCTACATTCACGAATAATATATTGAACTACATATTGATTCATTGAATATGCAATCCGTGTTAGTCAAGGCTTGAGACAAACGACCGACTGTAGGCGAAAGCAACTCACACTCTGTGATCTCAATTGGTCACAGCCCACATTCACCGTGCCAATGTTTTCTTTGCACACAGACACGAACGAATGCCTCGAGGGGAAGCACAACTGCCGTGCTAATGCGCAGTGTTCGAACTCGCCTGCAATGATGGATTCACAGGCGATTGCAGAACGTGCACACGTGAGTAACCGGCGTAGTGTTTTGATTTCGATGAATTGTTGTAATCTTCAAATTGGTCACTCTGATTCGAAGTTATATGTAACATGACTGCGGTATACGAAACGAGATGGCGAACAATTACCCACTTTGTACGAATCAGACTATACACTATTAATAGTTGTCTAGACTACAATAACTTTACTCATTTATGCCATGGTTCCACACCGTAATGAAATGCATAGCTTGATGAATGTATCTTAGGCACTGATGACTGCGACATCAATGCTGATTACCTGAACACAAACGATGGATTCACGTGTGCTTGCAAGACAGGCTATCAAAGAAATGGCAATGCGTGTACAGCTACGGTATGGAACAGTGGTACCTATGACTACGCACTGCATTTCCTTAGTTAATCGCAAGGGAGAACCAGTCTCGTGTTGTTCAAGCAAAGGCCACTTTAGACCTACCAAACGGACGCGAGAGTGTGGGAATACCCGTTTGATCGGAGTGCAATAACTGTCGAAAGAAAATCTCATTCATTTGTAGATAGTTCAGATCATGTATTGTGCATCTCATAGATCTACATAAAATGTTCATTACCTATTGGAACGACTCACATGAACCACGCGGACACTGTATAGAGTTATATTAATCAATAACACGTGGCTGAGCTTTGGTTACAAATCTTATATGACTAAACTTACCTCTCAGTATCGAGCGCATTGTTTATTATGCAGTAGTATGCGCCAACTCATTTCGACCACAGAGATTGACGAATGCCTCGAGAGCGAGCACAATTGTCGTCTAGATACTGAGTGTTTTAACACGCCTGGCAGCTTCACGTGCGCCTGCGATGAGGGCTACATTGGAAACGGCACAGTGTGCGAAGGTGAGTAGTTGTCGCAAATTACACAATGTGTACCAGATGCAAAACCTAGAGGTGCCTCAAGCAGCGACACGTACCCTGAGCTCGACGTTCCGTGGTCGATGATCCGAGTGTGTACTTGTGCGTATCTTAGAAATGACATTCTGTACGCATAGATTGATCTTTCCAATTTCCACGACACCTGTCGAGCACATATATTGACGAGTGCCTCGAGAACGACCATAATTGCAGTCCCAATGCTGGGTGCTTCAATGCACCTGGTAGTTTCGATTGCGTATGCAATGCGGGCTTTGCTGGTAATGGTACAACGTGCGAGGGTCAACTCTCAACTGTACTACAAAAATGACATTCTGTTTCCTATTGATTTGATCTTCACGTGGTACTTGGCGCACTCATTCGAGCTACTATGTCTGTGTATGATAGAGTTTAAGATCACAAAACGCCTGCTCGCGTGACTTTAAAAAAAAGAAAAAGAGATCATTGTTAGTTTGTGTTCTGCAAATGGATAGGCAACTCGTGCTTACCATGGGCACGACTGTCAGCTGCAACATAAATCTCGAGCTAGATTTTCAAGACTCATACCCAGTTTTGTATGTGGCTGTATCTTGCGCATCTCTTGGAAATGCTGTTGCAGAATAATAACCGTGGATATTCACAATCGACTCCCCTCTATACTCTCCGAGCACAGATATCGACGATGCCTCGAGGAAGACCACGGTTGTAATCCAGATGCTGAGTGTTTCAGCACACCTGGCAGCTTCGCATGCGCCTGCGATGAGGGCTATATTGGCAACGGCACAGTGAGCGAAGGTGAGTGATAAGCGATTCTTTGGAGTGTGTGACTTTATTTGTCGACTGGTTTCAAACGTGATAAGTTCATGTGACACGACTGGTTTATCATCTGATAAAGGTTGGTAGTTCCCCTATGACTTTATATTGTTTTCTGACACTGCTCATCTCACATCAATATCATACACTTCAATACCTCATCACTCCAGATTGCGCCAGCACCACGAATGATACGTTTTGCGTCCAGTGTGCATTATCCGACGATACACTCCCTGTATGTGAGAATTGCACCTTTGGCTATCATTTGGAGAATTCCACATGTATAGGTAGGATCTATTTCGCAGGTAGCAATGTCAATGCATGTAAAAAAGAAGAGTGATACTTCTTATAAACGTTGATTGAACCATCACAGAGATGGGTATCTGTATATATTGCTCTAGCAATAATGGGTATAACAATAATCGCCTTGTTCCATGTCCAATACATAATGGCGCATCCTGCATATCGAAAAGTTGATTCCATTACCCTCTGCTTCACAAAAGAGCCACAGTTGATCCAGAGCCATGCGAAATCTTGGATTTAGAGTGTGATAGTCAGGCGCAATGCTTGTTTACGGGCGTGGGATATGATTGTGTGTGCAATGAAGGCTTCTTTGGGAACGTCACGGCATGCAAGGGTAAGGATTGCAAACGTATTCATCTTTGTTAATGTCTATACTATTTATTAATGTAAGATGAACTTAAAATGGAAATGTCTTACTACCATTGTCTCGACTTGACAATTGTTTTGAGAACCACGATGATAGGTATTGATATGAGTCTGCCGAGTTGTAGTGCATAGCTCTCGCGAGCACTCAGAGTTTGCTTCTTGAACCTCTTTTAATAGGACCGAAAGACGAGTGCAAAGCCAGCGGTCAAGATTGTGACATCAACGCTGAGTGTTTGGATGTAGGCGGAAGTTTCATGTGCACATGCCAAGAAGGGTTCATTGGGAATAGCATGTCGTGTACAGGTAAGAGCTCTACATAATGCGATTATTGCATAGCATTGAGTTGATTTGATACTATAATTTCCCACAACTGTCCCCAGCGGACAGTCACATATGATCGTCACACTCACGTCTTGTTGATTTTGCGCCAGATTGCGAGACTGCTACAGATATCCCCTATTGCGCAAAGTGCAGATCGTCTCAGGACACGACACCTGTTTGCGAGGTGTGCAACACAGGATTCTTCGTAGCTACGAATGTGACATACACCGCCTTACACCGAGCACCGGGAGCAGGAGAAGATCGAAAAGCAAGCGGCGGACAATCAGGAGGTACGCGCGCGAACATCATGTGACACGGGTGAGAGCCCCTACACCCCTGCATACTCTTACAGATAGTGCAGACACAGGCGGAGACAACGCGGGGCAAACAAGGTGTGTACAATACCTTCGCTCGAGCCGCACGGGCCACTTCAAATCGCGCCTGTGTCCATCCGCTGGAAAACATAGAGTTCGCCCTGACCAACAGCGACGAGTACAGTCTAGACATTAATTGCCAGTGCAACGGCAAGACGCCGACCGCCGAGGACGAGCGCTGTCTTGTCTCTGGCAACACTGTGGTGTTCCCTGTGCCGAAGGTCACAGGTGAATACAGGTGCGAGATGGTAGCCGTCGCTGGGTGTAACATCAAGCCAGGCCAGATCCATAGGTTGGGAGGCATATACAAAATAACAGTCTGCGAGGTCACTGAGTAGTCGTGAAGGATTGCGCGTAGAGCTCACGATTTAAATCTAAGTCCTTTACTCGTTAGCTAAAGCTTGAGATATTTACCCATAAACCCCTAGAAATACAACACATTAACAAGATACACCAACTAAACTTTAATATATTATACATGTTTTCATGTATATCTATATCCATAAGTATATATTTTCCAAGTATGTATATAGACATACATA